GAACAATGAATCATGGAACACTTCATCTAGAACTAATGATGTAATGTATGGGGATTAACATAAGAATAAAAAAAAAAAAAGAGTAGGCCTCAATAGAAATGAGGGTGCCTTCCATAATAACTGGTTATAAGCAGCATTCGCGTCTTTACCATAGTGTGTATAGTGTAGGTTCGGCGAGGGTGAGGGACTCATGTGCTTTGCACACCGATATTCCCTCAGGGCGTGGCATAGTGCCTGACCTATAAGAAGTGCTGGTTGAATCAAATGTTTCCAGGGGCGCCTGGGTGGCTCAGTCGGTTAAGGGTCGGACTCTTGATTTTGGCTCAGGTCATGATCTCGGGGTCGTGGGATGGAGCCCCGCACTGGGCTCTGGGCTGAGCGTGGAGCCTGCTTGGGATTCTCTCTCCCTCTCCCTCCCTGCTCGTGCTCTCTCTGGAGGTAAGGATGGGGCAGAGATTGCAGATGGGCTCTGTGCTCTGGCACTCCCTTCACCACACACCCATGGCCCAGATTCCTGAAGCCCGTCCACGGCTCTTCACTAGACCTACACGCACCACCATTTTTGTGTCGGTGTCCCTGCTGCTTATGACCTGAATCTGCCCCTGGGAGCCTGTCCTCGTGAGCATGTTCTCAGGAGTGGCCAGTTACCTCGGTGGTGAGGGTCTGGGTGAGAGATGGGGGCCGGCAAACTGGAGTCTCCAATAACGGAAGAGGCGCCGGCCTCTTGAGTCACTCTGGGTCTCCCCTTCACCAGCTGTGGTGGGACTGCTGGCTCAGGTCATCTTCGTGACAGAGGTCCTCCTCCAGGCCATTCCCCGATTCACAGAGGTCACATGTGCCTGCACCTTCTACCTGGGCTGTGGCACCTTCACACCTTCACCTGACACCTGCTCATCCCGATCCCTGTATGGGAGGAGGAGGCCAGTGCTGGGAGGGTGGGACGGTTCTGTGTGCCTGCCCCTGCCCCTCAGGTACCCTGATCTTGGCAATGAAGCCCACCACACGGGAGGCCCTTCTCAAGGCAGAGCTGTCTGTGAACTTTTATCAGAGGAGGATGTGGACGTGTCTTGCTCTCCACAAACTTCCAGAATTGTGATTCGCCACCATTTGCTTGCCTTGGGGATAAGCTCCATGCAGGGATCCAGGAGTCTGAGCCCCTGCCTGCCTGCCTCCTCCTCAGGACTCGAGTCCAGGCATCCAGCCCTCTTTTCCTTCAGTCGCAAGCATCCCGGCCTCCAGCCCCCTCCTTCCACAGAGACACTAGAATTGGGGCCTCCCTCTTTCAGAATGGAAGGTTGCAGAACCCACAGGAAAGCATGATACAACCCCCAACTGTCCCCTTTGGCCACATCCCCCCGTTTAACTCACACCCTGGTGTCATCTATCACCTCCCACCATGGGGCCCCCAAGCCTCTCTCACACCTCTTCCAGGAAGTCTCCTCTGATGTTGAGGGTTCCAAGGGTGGGAGGTATAGAACCTAAAACAGAGGCAAGTTCTGAACCACCATCCAAACCACTGATGATGTGACACCCTCCCCACCACACACTGTGAGGGGAACCGGACCTCTGTGGGAGGAGGATGTTGTCGGGGCAACCAGGAAGGGAGGGTGTAGGGCAAGACTCATCTACCCGGAACTGAGTGAAACAAAACTGGCCTGGTTTTAAAGTCTTAAAGGCTTCTCTTTCTTGAGCTCAGAGGACCCGAGTCCAGATCACCAGCCTCTTCATCCCCAGGACCCAGACACCCAGTACCCACCTCCATGGAGCTCTGTCGGTCCCTGGCCCTACTCACTGGCTCCCTGGGCCTGGTGTCCATCCTGATTGCTCTGAGCACGGATTTCTGGTTTGTGGCTGAGGGGCCCAGGTTTTCATTTCACTCGGGGCTCTGGCCAAAGGAGTTTCACACCGAGGTACCAGGTAAGGGATAGTGGTCCCTCTCCTGTTGGGGGTGGTGGGCTGCCGGAGGGGCAGGCACCGACATCTTACCTCCGAGCAGACTACCTCCGTGCGACGCAGAGCCTCAGCATTCTGGCCACCCTGTGGGGACTGGTGTCGGTGATCTTCCTGATCGTGTCCTGCATCCCCTCACTGTCCACTCGAGGCTACGGGCCCCTCGTCTCTTCTACCATGGCTTTTGCTGCAGGTAGACTCCGGGCTGCACTTGGGCTCTGGGGACCGGTGGGTTCCCGCAGCGGGCCTGAGCCCTCTCTCTCGTCTTCATCCCCAGCCATTTTTGCAGTGGTAGCCATGGTGGTCTACACCAGCGAGCGGTGGAACCAGCCTCAACACCCCCAGATCCAGACCTTCTTCTCCTGGTCCTTCTACCTGGGCTGGGTTTCAGCTGTCCTCTTGCTCTGTGCAGGTTACTGCTCCTCCCGGACCTGGAGAGGGCAGCTGGGGGCTCTGAGACAGCAGGGTGAGGGCTAATGCTAACCTCTTTCTGCCACCCCCAGGTAGCCTGAGTCTGGGGGCTTACTGTAGTGGCCCCCGGCCTGGCTATGATGCCTTGTGAGCCGGAGGCGAGACAGGCAGGATGAAGCACTATCCGCGGAAGACCTCATCAGGAGCCGCAGGCCCCCGCAGCCCTCCCTCTAGCCCTTACCCCCAGCCCTCCCGCAACCCCTCCATTTGTTTCTTCATCCATTCAACAAAAATTTGCCGGGATCTGGTTATTCTGAGATTAATTCAGCCACGACATTAGCTGAGGGCAAGCCAGCTCCCTGGTGGGCGACACTAAGCGCCTAGAAAGGAGTCAGAGCCCCCACCTGCCATCAGGTGGCTCCTGCTCATGGAGCCGGGGCAGGTGTGGACTCAGGCACGGCCCCATGTTGGCCCCCTTCTCCCGCCCTTGTCTTTCTCTGTGTTTCTACCTTGAAACCCCGTCCTTTCTCTTTTCTCCTTGGTCTTTCCCACTTCAGTGCTCTTTCCTTCTCACTCTCTCCCTGATTTTGTCACCCTTGTCTTCACTCTGGTCTTCCTCGCTCACTTCATTAATTCATTTACTCCTTCAGCTGGCTTTTCCTGAGCTCATCCTTTCTGCTTGGTCTCACTGGGGATGCTGATGGGAGTCTGACCCGGGCCCTGCCCACTGGGGGCTGCAAGTCTGGTGGGGGAGGTGAGACAGCAGGCAGAGCCCAGGATGGTGAGGAGAAAGACTGACTGTGTCAGGGGTGGGGGGTTGGGGGGAGCTTTCTGGGGTGAGGGTGTTTAGGGGCTTCTCGAGGGCCAAGGAAAGGCCATCCAGGCAGAGGGACCCAAAGGTGGAGGTGTGGAAAGCCTGGAAGTTTTTAGGGGATAGAGAACAGTGCTTTGTGGCGGAATGTAGAACGCAGGGGTGGTGGGGCATGAGGATGGAGAAGCAGGTGGGAGCAAGGGCCCCGACGGTCACAGTGACTCTCTCCTGAGGGCAATGGGGAGCTAGGAGGAGGTTGTGAGCCGGGGAAGGACAACGCCAGTTCCAGGTGCCAGAAAGACCCCTCTGGGATATGCAGGGAGCCCAAAGGGAGAGAGGAGCTTGGCAACGCAATGGGTGCGACTGGGACCAGGGCATGAGGTGGGAAAGAGGGAAGGAGCCAGAAAGATTCGGGGGGAGGGGGCAGAAGGAACCAGACTCAGGGATTCAAGAGCCTTGTGGAGTGATGGGCAAGAGGGAGCAAGAATAGTGCCCAGGGGTGCGGCACAACCAACCGGGTGAGACAGTAGAGTCATCCCTGGTTTGGTGGAAGATGCTGAGCTCGGCTGGGATATGGTTGTCGGGGGTCTGGGAGAGAGACCCAGTGAGGAAGCTCCTCTGGTAAGAAGGAGGAGGACGGAGGTTCCAGGGAAACGGGCACTAAGTGGAGGGAGGAGGAGGAGCAGGGGCTTGCGGGGGGACCTAAGGGGGCACAGTCGGAGAGCTGGGGACCTGCGGAGGTTATGAGATCAAGGGAAGCGTTTTCACAAGGTTATGGTCTACTATGTCATGGCCTTTCGGCTCCCCCCAGACCTGCCATCTGACTCTGAGCTGTCTCTGTGCTAGAAGAGTTGCTTAGGTGTGTGCGTATGTGTGTGTATGGGTGGGTGGGTGGTTATCTCTTTAAATGGCTGATGGGAGAGGGGATTCTGGAACTCCTCCTGCCTCACAGAGACCCAGTCTCCCTTCCCCCACCCCTCTGGACTCTGTCTAAGAAACCCTGGGAGCTGGGTGTGAGTCATCCAGGTGGGTGTGTGCATGGGGGTGGGAAGGGCACTGGACAGGCTAAAGGGACGTTCCACTGGTGAAAGACAGGGTCTCTAAGCAGTGATTCCTTGGGGGTGAGGTCTCAAGGCCCCCAATAGGAGCAGTAGGTGATGAAGGTGTTGGGTTTGGGGAGGGCCTGAAGGAGGGGCCCCCAGACAGCGGTGCTGGGGTGCAGTCAGACATGGAGGGACATGTGGGAGGGGGTCTCAAGGACTTGAAGGACCCGGGAGGGGGGTCTGGGGACGGGAGGGGTGTTGGCCAATCTTGCATGTGTGGCCCTCGGCAGCAGCCTCCCTGGCATGGGGGTGAAGCAGAGCCTTCGGAGCGGGGGCACCTTGCTGGGCTTGTTGGCCCAAATCCTCACGATTCTCTCCACTGCCACCAACTACTGGATCCGCTACCCCGGGGGCCACAGTGGTCTCTGGCACGAGTGTAATGGCCGCACCTGCTCCAACATCCCCTGCCAGAGTGAGGCCCTGCCCGCCCAGATGTCCCCCACTGGACAGACAGCCCCCAGCACAGGCCGCAGCTGGGCACATCCTGCGGCGCCCCCACCCTCGCCCCTCCCACTCCGGTCTCAGGTCCACCTGCTCCCCCGCGACAGAGACTACCACGAACCCCCACTTCGGGACCTACTTCCCTGTTGCGACATTAACTGCCCCTCATGAAGTAACTTCCAAGTTGCCATCCAAACCGTCAACTCTGCTCCCAGCCCGGTACCGGCGGGTCGGGGTGGTGGCCAGGGCCGGAGCCAGCGCGGGGCTGAGGCGGCCGCTCTCCCCAGCCATGCTGGCGGTGACCGGGGCGTGCATGGTGCTGGCGGCGGCCTCCGGCGTCATGGGTTTTGTGATGGGGCTGCGGATTCTGTGCCACGAGGGCGACTCGCGGGGCCAGACTACGAGCGGCATCTTCTTCCTCTACGGTGAGACGGCAGCGGGCCCTCAGGCACAGGGTGGGCCTGGGGGCTGCAGGGGGCAGGGGCCCAGGGGTCGCGCTTTCAGGCGCGGGGACGGGGGTGGGGGGAGGGGCCGGAGACCCAGAGGAGGGGGTGGGGCTGGGAGGAGGGGGCGTGGCCCGGGCGATGGGCGCGGTCTGGGTGGGGCCTGGCTGCAGCCCCCCGGCCAAGCTCACCGGGTGCGCGGGGCCCAGGCTTGCTGCTGCTGATCGCCTTGACAGGCTACACCGTGAAGAACGCGTGGAAAAACGACGTCTTCTTCTCGTGGTCCTATTTTTCGGGGTGGCTGGCTTTACCCTTCTCTATTTTCGCGGGTAACCTGGACAGCGGGAAGAGGGTGGAGGAGACTGCCCAGAGGAGCCCCTTCCCCGCAGACTCCCAGCCGCCCTCCCAGGGACTCCTCAACACACTCCGCTCCCGACTCCCGCAGACCCGGCAGGGGCGCCCTTGGGGCCCCAAACCCCAGTCCCCGGGGCGCTCCCGGCCATCTGCCCCAGGACCCACCGTCCCCCACCCGCCCTCCGCTCCCCTCCCGCCAGGCTTCAGCTTTCTGCTGGCGGACATGATCATGCAGAGCACGGATGCCATCAGCGGATTCCCCGTGTGCTTGTGACCGCAGCCTGGGGCAGAATAAAGGAACGGCTTTCACCGCCGCGGCTCCGCGTGCCTTTCTGGGGACCGTGAGGACACGGGGGACACGAACGCACGCGGGAACATGGACATGAAGAGGACGGGGGATTGGGACACGGGGGTACCTGGGGGTTCAGGGAGGACATAAGCACATTAACCTATAGGGAACGAGGAACACGGGGACACGAGCATGGATGGAGTGGACAAGGCGCATGGGCTCGGAGGGGGAACGGGGCACAGGGGTGGTGGGGGCAGGAGAGCACATGGGCTCTTGGAAAGGATGTAGGGACATGGACGCGGGAAAACGGATACAGGGGAACGTAAGAGGCATGATCGTGGGACGAGGAACATGGCAAGAAGAGAATGGGGAGACAGACACAAGAGGACGCAGGGAATGCGGGCATAGCGACTTGCAGAAGCGAGGGAAACGTGGGGAACTGGGGGAGGGATAAATCGAGGGCGTTGGGAAAAGTTTAGGAGGCCTGGGAGGAGCTCCACTCCGGGAGCACCTCCCTCTGCGCACGACCTTTCCCCTAGTTCCCGGCCACGCCCCCTTCACTAAGTCCTTTTCCCTTCCCCTCAGCTCCCGCCTCTTTCTCCAGAATCCGTTCTCCATTGGTCCGAATCCTCTTGCCACACCTCCCTCCCCTCCGGGCCTCCGATTGGTCCTTTGTCAGGGCGGAGGCGGGCACCGCCGCGGTTGACTGGCTGGCGGCGCGGGGCGCAGGCGCAGGGCAGGGGGGGGCGGGACGTCTGGATCCAGAGGCCGAGTGAGCGGACCGACGCCGCAGGTGGCCGCGGCAGGAAGATGGCGGAGCTGCGCGCGCTCGTGGCTGTAAAGAGGGTCATCGACTTTGCCGTGAAGGTGACCGGGCCCCCACTTCCACCTCCCCCGAACCCCGAAACTGTATGGGGGGGTCTGCTCGTACATCTGATCTCTGCCGCCTTTCCTCCCAAACGTCAAAGTCACACCTGAGGGCAAGGATCAAGGACTGTGAGGGTCAGACTTCAGATCCCTCCTCGCTCAAACCCGGCCCCTTTGGGGTCATGACCTCGTTCCCTTTTCTCAAGTTCTGGACTCACTGTCTTAATAATTCTGTGCAGTACGAGTTAGTTTCTCTATTTCTTGCCTGCTGGAGATGCCACGGCCCCTATGTAACATTTGGAGAAACTGAGGCCCAGAGAGGTCACTCAGCTAGGATGCGGTAGAGCTGAGATGATTCCCCTCTGGGTCCGTCTGACTCCTCAGCGCAACTAGTGCTTTGCAACGCAAGCCACACTTTGACCTGTTAGGCTGCATTGCACACTCAGTTGGCTGTTAACAGGGGAACCCAGAAGCTTTCACCCTACAAAGCCGCGGGGTGAGTGAGGAGGCTCTAGCCAGGAAGGGAGGGAGAAGTGTTTGCTAGAGATGGAATCCTGTTTGACTGAGCTGGTGGAATGGCTCCCATTCCCCATGAGGGGGCTGGGGGGCAACGTCTCTGAGGTCCTGGCTTGTCCCCAGAGAGAAGCTGGTCGGGACAGACGTGAATCAGACACAGGCTCTCTGGCCAGTTTCTCAAAATACTTGGCTTAAAGCAGACTGAAGATGGTGACTGCCCATCCATGTCTGTCCTCACCATCAAACTGGGATTCCACCTCTGTGTCCCCAGCATTGCCCAGCACGGGGCCTGGCATGCCAGAGGCCTTGGGGTGCATGAAACCAGGGCCCCTGACGGCTTGGGGAGTGAGGTGGGGAGGAGGTCCCGGGAGCCGGACTTGGCATGCAAACTTCAGTGATCATAACTGCTCACGTTTAGTGAGTGCTTATTGTGCAAGCAGCAGCACTCCAAGTCCTTGACAGAGACCGACTCATTCAGT